GTGTCTCTCTCAGCTCTTCAACTGCAGTTAGTCTAGCTTAGTTGTTTTTCTAACCCTAGATTTAGGCTGAGGTCAGTGTGTGCCATAGTATAGTATAGCTGGTTAGGGTTATTTTAGGCTTAGCTAAGTTCTAGGTTTGCTAGGCCTATTTTTAGGCTTAGCTGTTTCTAGCTCTGCTAGGACTAGCTTTAGGCTTAGCTGGTGTCTGGTCTCTAGGCCTTGTTTTAGACTTAGCTGTGCTGAACTTAGTTTTGCTTGGTGTGTGTTCATCTTGCTGGACGCCATGTTGGCTTCCTCAACGTTGCTATCTACAACAGGGAAGTCTGGGTAAAGCAGCCATCTTCAGTTTGGATAATTTCATCAGCCATCTTGCCTTTCTCAAGCTGCCTGTTGATGTCTGCCTTGTGGATACCTGATGGACGCCATTTTGTATTCATCGGTTGAGTTTGTGTTGTGTTGCTGTGCCAGGCGTAGTGCGTAAGTGTGTGTGTTTCTTATGTGTGGATTACGTGTTGTGCTTACCCAAGGATTACTCAATGGATATGCTGTGTTTATGTCTGGTGCACCTGTACTTCTGTTTTTGTTTACCGTCCACTAGCCAGGGCTGTCGCAGTGCGACAGGTGTCTAACCAACATAGACTGTGTTGGGGTAGCTGGACACCTCTTCATCTGTTTTTGTTTCGTTTGGTGGGAGCCCTGGTCACTAGACCAGGTCCCCCCCGTGCCAACAGGTGTCTTGTTGACACTGAGGGACAACAGCGGCAGGTTATCAAAGCTAGCTAGCAGCCTGTGTCTCCACTGGCCAAGCTAGCTTGGCCTCCCCCGATACCAGCCCGACCCTAGTAGACTGCTGACATCAGTGCTATTGGTGTGGTTGCGGTTTCTTGGAGTTTTCAGGGCAACGCTTCAGCGCAGACTTTCCATCTTTTCCCAAGGTGCTCCCTCTGGATACCCACCAAGGACTACAAAGAATCGACCTTCTTCGTCTACACCCGTTTGGATTATGTGCGTTTGAGACTTTTTCTGGACATCCACTGCTGACTTTTTGGTTTTTTTTTTTGGTGTACCCGACTCTGGACCATCTCACACCTTGGATTACTTGCAAACTTCTATATTTGTTGTCTCTAAGGTGGTGAGTATACTTTTTACTACTTTTTGAGTCAACCAATCCTTTCTCTCTGTCTGAGTTGGATCCCATCCAGCTGGGACAGAGTCTCTGGCCGTAAGGCACCTTTTGCACTCTTCCACGACTCTACACTGCCTATTGGTTGACTTTTTACACTGTACATTGTGTGTTCTGTGCATCTGGACATCATGACTTCCGGACTCCTTGCTTCTTTCCTGGATGAAGCGTACAAGATTGCGGATGAAGTGAAGGGATTCTGCGCTGAGAAACCAGACAGGCGCTTTGGTTCAATTCAAAACCAAAACTATATTAACGACAGTATTCAAAAAATCATTGATTTAGCCAAATCCACTTTTGGTGAAGAAGATACTTCAACATTTACCTCTGGAGACCGCATTGGCGTCCGCGCCGTCCTTTCTCACACTATGTCTGACTCTAAGAATTGTGAGGACACTCCTGTTAAGAGGCATCAGGGGTTCCTGGATGTTGCCCCAACTCCTCCCATGCCCATTCTTCACCCTCCAACCTCGCCTAGACCTGAGCTGGAGGGAATACATCTCAAACTTAACAAGCTTATCGACAATGACCTCCCAACTATTCTTAAAAGACTGGACGTTTGCTTCACAGAACGTGAAACACAAATTCCCAAGATAGTTTCTGACTGCACCAGCGATTTGAATAAAAGGTTTGCTGAAGTGAACTCCAAATTAGACAAACTTGCCGACTCAAATGATAAGATTGATGGACATATTGACCACCTCATAGATCGTCTTGATCTTGAAACTCCACTTACCCATATTGAAGGACTTTCGGGTAAACTGGAGGAACTCATGGAGGAGGGTCCCATTAAGCACATACTGGACAACCAACTGCAGACAAAGGAGAGGTTAGAACAGCTGTGCTCCCACAAAGTTTACGGAGACTCTGCGGGTAAATCCTACTGCGACGCGCTGAAATCCGGGAAGACCATTGGCAGCTCCTACAACCCCAGAATTCCTAAGTCTGGCACTGAGGTACTCCTGATCTATGATAGAAAAGGCGAACAGAGCTGCAATAACATCCGCAAACTGATATATGGAAAAGTCAAACCATCCCAACTTCGTATTGGGATTGAACGCATCCGCAATGTTGGTGGCGGTGGCCTGGCTGTTGAGGTGAAGAGGACACAGGATGCCAGGATACTAGAACAATACATAGTAAAAGAAATCCCTCAACTGCTGGTTAAAAAGCCCAAGAAACGCTTACCTCACATGGCCATCTACTCAATTCCTACACACATTCCACGTGAGGACCTCCCATCTCTAATCTACAACCAAAACGACGCCCTTGCCGAGTCCTTTACTGAGGAAAACTTTTGTGAAAACTTTAAGATCAAATTCAGCATGCGTAGAAAACATAAAGACTATACCAACTGGGTGATACAGGTCTCTCCTTACCTAAGAAAACAGCTGCTGACGCTGGGAAAACTCTCCGTCGAATGGTCCAAGTGCAGAATTTCTGACTTCTGCCCGGTTCTGCAGTGTTTTCGTTGCTGCAGATTCGGGCATTCCACCAACTCCTGTAGCCAGACTGTGCCAACCTGTAGTCATTGCTCAGGCGAGCACAACTTTAAAGAATGCCCAAAACTTGAACAACCACCTGTCTGCTGTAACTGCAGACACGAAAACAGGTCTAACACTAACCACAACGCAAAGGATAGCTCTTGCAATATCTATCAACGTATCAAAACCAATATCATAAACAGTACCGACTATGGATCAACAGCACAAAACTAAGATCAGTTTCCTGCAATATAATACGGGCAGAGGCATTGCCTCTACCTCCATCTTAACCTCTGTCATCGACCAATATGATTTCATCCTTTGCCAAGAGCCTTACTGCATTGGGAATAGACCTGCCTGTCTGCCTACCTCCTGCATTACTCTGAGAGGCACTGATAACTATCCCTGGGCCATCTCAATCACCCCCAACGATGATCTACCCCTTCTGCACCACCAGAACATTAGCAGCGATCTCATCTGCTGCACTGAACTATCCATGGGTGGGAGGAGATACATCGTTATCAACTTCTACTGCCCAAAAGACTTTTCAACTGAGGACTTTCTTCTGGCAATCCAGGACTGTATGAATGTCTTCCCCAGTGCTTTCTTCATCCTTGCTGGTGACACAAATGCCCACTCCCCNGATGGAAGTTAGGTAAGGTAATTATATTGTTGAAGGCTCGAGACAGGGATAGAAGCAATCCAAAATCGTATAGGCCAATCTGTTTACTATCGAGTATAGGTAAAATTTTTGAAAGATTAATTAAATTAAGGTTACATAGTTTGTTCTCGAATTATCTTGATCCTTATCAGTTTGGCTTTCGTCCAGGAATGTGTACTACTGATGCGATGTGTGCTTTGCGAAGGTGGACGCAGACTTCGGATAAAAAGTACGTGTTGGGCCTTTTTTTAGATATTTCAGGGGCTTTTGACAATATCTGGTGGCCTGCTGTGCTGAAAGCTTTGCGGTTACAGAATTGTCCGCAAGATTTATATAATTTATTAAGTAATTATTTTAATAATAGGATTGTTCGGTATTTTCATGGGGATGCTTATGTAAGTAAGGTTGTGAGCAAGGGTTGCCCTCAGGGATCGGTACTGGGTCCAGAATTTTGGAATATTGTCTTTAATGATATATTGGTACGTTTGCGGAATGTGGGTGTTCGGTACGTGGCATATGCGGACGACTTGGTTGTTTTAGTTGAGGGGAATAGTAGAGCTTCTATTGAGACATCCGCGGGAGAGATTCTTCTTAGCCTGAGGTGTTGGTTGGCTGAGTTAAAGTTACAGATTGCTTCACAGAAGACTGTGGCAATGCTGTTGAGGGGTGTCCTCAGCCCGGATCGCCCCCCCAGCGTGCGAATGGGCACAGCATCAATTAGGACTGTTTCTTCGGTTCGTTACTTGGGGATAACCTTCAGTACTAGGCTGGGTATCCATGATCATGTGAAAGACATCACTACAAGAGCTGTGACTCAGTTTTGTAGGTTACAGGGGCTGTTGGGTTCGGGGTGGGGGTTGCGGCTTCCCGCCCTGAAGTCCCTGTACAGACTCCTGTTCATACCTATGGTCACCTATGCCGCTGGTGTGTGGGGCGACGCGCTGGGGCCCCCTCAGAGGAAAGCTCTGATTAAGGCTCAGCGTGTTGTTCTATTGATTTGCACAAGGGCTTATAGAACAGTTTCTTCCCCGGCTCTGCAAGTCCTTTTTAATGAATTGCCTTTGGATTTAGAGGTGTCCTATATGTATTATAGGTATTTATTGCGTGTTAAGGTAGCCTTTGTGTTGGGGACATTTGTGTATCCGCGGGATAGTATGCTGCTTACCGATTCCCAGATACGGAGACGGATAAAGGATGAGCTAATAAAAATTTGGAATGAGCGATGGGTGATGTCGGATAAGGGTAGGCAGACTTTTGTTTACTTTCCGTCGATTAGAGCTAGGATTTTGGCACAGTGGGTTACACCAGATTTTTATACAAGTCAATGGTTGACTGGTCACGGGGATTTTCGTGAAAAATTGTTTGGTTTTGGTTTGGTTAGTACTTCTATCTGTGAATGTGGTTTTAATGATTCTTTACAACATTTTATATTTGAGTGTCCACTTTTGGCACATGTACGATCGCGTTGTATTTATTTAAAGTCTGATTTTGATAACCCGAATTATTTACGTCGTTTTGTTTCGATTAGGAATATTTATTTACAGGTTTTTAACGTTTTACAACTTATGCTTTTAGAGAGGATACGGATTCGTGTTAGAAGTTAAATTTACTTGTTATTGTCCAGTTTAATCTATTGTTTTAGCTATTTTTTAATTAGTGTATTATAGTGATTATGTTATGTTGGGTTATTTTACTGCCGAGAAGTCATATAGACAGGTGCGGCAGTATAGTCATGGGACTTTACGGGACGCTTGTCTCTGCATCCTATATTAATGACCGCACGGGAAAGATCTTCAACGCCTTTGCTGGCATGGCCAGAAAGCGTTGGGGCCTGGCTGCCGAGGCAATGGAAGCCATTTATAATCAGATCTTTGTGCCAATTGCTACTTATGCCTGCGGCTCCTGGGGGCAAGCTGTCAGCAAAGTCCACATTAGACGCAAGCTTCTGGCAGCCCAAAGGAGAGCCCTCATTCAACTCACAAAGGCCTATAGCACTACTCCCAACGCCTCCTTACACATCCTTGCCAGGAAAGCCCCCATTGACAAAACCATCATCTTACACCATAAAACTTGGCAAATTAAATGGGGCATCGACATTGCTGCTGGCAACACTACCATCTGCAGTGACAACCTGGAAAGAAATGTTAACTTTAAGGACTCTAGGCACCCTGCTACCTACTATAAGATCATATTTGACACCACCGACCAGGCTGACTTCCACATTTTTACCGATGGTTCCAAGAACAACACCTCTGTTGGCTGCAGCTTCGTAGTTTTTAGCAATGGTGAGGAGGTCACTGTTGGTCAATACAGGCTAGGCGGTGACTGCACTGTCTTCCAAGCCGAGCTGTTTGCCATCCTCATGGCTGCCTCTTGGGCCGACAGCAATCATAACCACAAGATGATTAACATTACAACGGACAGTGCCTCAGCTCTCACCATCTTGCAGTCAAGGAACTCCCACCCCCTGGCCTGTAGCATCCAGGAAATCATCAATAATTCTTCCTGCCTCTTTCACCTTAACTGGACACGTGCCCACCAGGGTCTTCACGGCAATGAAAGGGCTGACATTCTTGCTAAGGAAGCCTCCATCAATCTCGACCTGCCCATTGCTTACAACAAAATAAATATCCATTCCATCAAAGGGATCCTATGGAATCACCTCATTCGCTCCTGGCAGGAAGACTGGGATAACAATAACTCTCACTCCATAACCCATAATTTTATTCCTAACATCAAAGAGTTCCTCACCTGCAGCTGGTACACCCCCAACCATAACATCTCTCAGTTTCTCACTGACCACGGTAGGTTTCACTCCTACCTGGCTAGATTCAGAAATGCTAGCAACCAAAACTGTTTCATCTGCAACACCGTCGATGGAAGTGAACACTACATTCTCCATTGCCCGATGACTGAACGTGAGCGCCTTCAACTCAAAATTATCAGTGATACTCACAATGACGCCTGGCCTCCACATAATCTAAACTGTCTTATAAAGCACAAGGACTCCTACAACGTTCTACTGGACATTGTTAACTCCTATTTCAGGAACACTCCAGTTCCTGGATTCCACAGACTTCGTACTTAGTGTCTCGCCATTTCCTCGCCAATGTAAATATTGTTACTAGCTTTGTAAATAACTTTAGTATTGTATTTTATTTTACCACTTTATGTATCCATTAGCTCGTAGTGTTCCTATTTTACCATACTGTATTCCTGTAATTATTGTCATCTCCTCTCCAATGTTATTTCTGTGTTTGCGCTTCTATAATTTTGTATTGTATTCTCTATTTTACCATTTATGCATTATTAATGCTACCTTTTGCCTTGTAAATATAATTGCAGTGTATCTGCATCTACCGTTTATGTAACCTTTAGTTTGTAACAACTCTATTTACCATTTTGTTCTTTTGTACATACTGTTTAACGTTGCACTCTTTTGTACTCGCGTCGCGTATGTTATCTGTTACATTTATATTTACTCATTTGTATTCCATTTTAGCTGTAATGTATCCCTTGTCACGTTACCATCCGGCTATGTCTTAACGGCGCCGGCTATGTACCTTTGGTATGTTCCAATAAATAAATCTGAATCTGAATCTTTCCCTATCTACTGGGCAGGGTGCCCCATTGATTGTTTGCGCTTCGTTAGCTATTGACTATCTCTTTCGGCGTTTCGCCTACAATTTGTCTAGCTCTTTTTAGTGCATTTATAACAGTCCAAGGGGAAGCAGAGTCGAACCTCCACGTGGTCCTGCCCGCAAGTAGCCCGAAAGGGCGAAACCAATCGACTACTGCGAAAAGTTAAGACCTTAAACAGTCCTTTTGAGGACTATGACGGCCAAACGGCCACATTTATCACTTTCAGACGACGAGCTGTTGTCGCAAGGTGACATGGATGTTCAAAACGAGGATGAAAGGATAAGTTTGGTGGAGAATATCCGCGAAGAAGTACGGAACTATATGCTCTCAAACGCAGGATGCAAACTCGGAGCTGGAGACCACGTAAAGTTTGTGTGCTCTCAGATTGACAGGATCATAATGCTACTAGTGGATAGGAGAAAAGACCCTGTGCAAGCGGCAGTGGAAGGGTTGCACGAAAAGCTGGATAAATACTTAATACAAGGTGGCCAAGTAACCCCATCTTATGCTCAAGTTGCAGCAACCAAAAGACAAACAAAACCACACAAAGAGGTGCTTCTTGTGGACCCAGCAAAAGAAAATGAAGACCCAGAACTCACAAAAAGTAAGCTTAAGAAAAGCATAAACCCAAGACTATTAGGAATTGGTATACAAGCAGTAAGAAAGCTGAAGAAAGGCGGAATTGCATTGGAAGTAGCAACCAAGAGTGAAAAAGAAAAGCTAAAGGATGTCATAGAGAAAGAAACAGGCCTGAAGACGAGAGAACCCCAAAGAAAAAGACCGAAGATAGTGATCTACGGAGTTGACAAAGAAATACCAAGAGATGAATTACAAGAATGCATCTACCAACAGAACGAGAATATCCAGGATAACATTACCTTGGAAGAATTCAATCGACAATCTAACATCAAGTTTCAATTCGGTAACAAAAATAAACCAACCACGAATTGGGTAGTGGAAGTTGAACCACTGCTAAGAAGACTAATACTCCAGAATAAGAAGATAAACTTGGGATGGACAAGGTGCGGAGTAGAAGACTATCTCTCTGTAACACAATGTTTTCAATGTTGCAGAATTGGGCATATAGCCAAAGAGTGCAAGGAAAAGGGCCCCACGTGTAGCCAATGTGGAGAGGCCCACACATTTAAAGAATGCACTGGCAAGCACAAAATAGAATGCATAAACTGCAAAAGAGAGAAATTAAAAGACACAGGGCACAACGCATGCTCAAAAAAATGCCCGCTGATAATAAAGGTCAGAAGAATGCTTATGGCAAAAATTGATTATGGCCAATAGACCAGAAACACAAAGAAATGAAGGAAAAATAAGAATTGTCCAAATAAACACACAAAGATCCATCAGCGGCACTTCTGCATTAAATAAGGTGTTGGAAAGAGTAGACGTAGCCTTAGTTCAAGAGCCCTATTGCAAACAAGGCAAACCAGCATGCCTTAGAATAAAAGAAAGAATATTATTCAATGAGAACTATAGCCCATCCATGCTGGCCATTATCAGTAACTCTAACTTAACAACTATCTTCCACGCTGAGTTAAGTCATAAATATATTACATGCTTGGAGATTGGTACAGCGGAAGATAACTATGTATTAATCAGTGCATACAGTCCAATTACAGATGATATTAACAGAGTGCTAAGTGATTTGGAGTCTCTTGTCAAACAACTCCGAAACAAAAGGATTATTATTTGTGGAGATCTTAACGCCCACTCCGAACTCTGGGGCGACCCTGACAATGACGATAGGGTGGATGAACTTCTAGAATTTGTTAATGCAAATAACTTATATATCCTAAACCAGCCGGACTCGTTGCCCACGTTTGATGCGGGTGTGGGGAAAAGCTGGATTGACCTAACAATATGTAATGGCAATGCAGTTAAGCAGATCAGGTCATGGGAAGTCTCGCCCTTATGCAGCCTAAGTGATCACAGCTACCTCTTTATAGAGGTTGGCCTCCCATTAGAAGAGCTAGTGGAGCATGGGGAACATTACTCGATCAGCCGGGCTAACTGGTCGCTCTTTCAGCAAAGAATCCAAGATAATCTTAGAATACATGAACTCAAAGAGTGTAGAGACAAAGAAGAAGCTACCCTAGTCATCAATCGCTTTCATGACTTACTGTGCAACACATGTAAGGAAGCAATCCCAATGAAACGGAAGAGTAATAGCTCTACCCCATGGTGGAGTAGTGATCTAACACAAATGCGGAAAGAAAGCAACAGACTTCGAAGAAGGTATCAGAGAACAAGAAATCCACAAGAGAGGCAAAGGAAAAAAAGAGAATACTTAGATAGGTGTAAAATATATAAGGATTGTATCAAAAGAAGGAAGTTGCAAAGCTGGAAAGAATTTTGTTCCGAGAGTACGTCAAAGCCTTGGGGGTTCTTGTATAAGATGTGTGTAGGTAAGCTGAAGAAACCTACCTTCCTAACTTCAATCAAAGATGGTGAGTCACACACAACAGGAGTAAGAGATACGGTGGAGAAACTTCTGGCAGCATTCTTCCCAGCAGATGATGAGAGCACAGACACTGCCACTCAGAAAGAACTAAGGCGAGAGAGCGCCATGGAATACATTAGCACACATGATCCTGCCTTTACAAAGGAAGAAATTAAGAACGCTATACTAAGGCTCAAGCCGGGGAAGGCCCCGGGGCCAGATGGCCTGATTGCAGAAATAGTAAAGAAACTCTGGGCGTTCTGCCCAGATTATCTGGCCGAATTGTACAACACATGCCTGAAATTTGGCCTGTTTCCGCCTATATGGAAAACTGCAAAGCTGGTGATAATACCAAAAGGAGATGGCTTAGACAGAAGCAACACAAAGAGTTATAGGCCTATTAGCCTTCTTCCCTTAATGGGGAAGGTGTTGGATTATCTTATTAGTAGCCGGATTACAACTCATCTGGCAAGCAAGAACTTCCTATGCGGAAAGCAATACGGCTTCCAGCCCAATATGAGTACAGACGACATCATAGTCAAAGTAACGGAATCAATAGATGGAATCCTATCAAAATTTAAGTACTGTTGCGGTCTCAGTCTCGACATTAGCGGAGCATTCGACCACGCATGGTGGCCGCTAATTCTTCTGGCCCTAAGAGAGGCTCAACTCCCGTCCAACCTGTATGACGTTGTCAACGATTATCTCAATGATAGAAAAGTGTCCTACATATCCAACTCGATCACCATCTCAAAGATTCTCAGCAGGGGATGCCCTCAGGGGTCCAATTCTGGCCCCCTTTTCTGGAATTTGGTGTACAACTTCTTCCTCCGGGAAGATAAAGGCTCAGATGTAATAGAGGTAGCGTATGCCGATGACACATTGTTGCTCTTCGGAGCGAATTCAAGACTACAAATCGAACACACCGGAAATAAACTATTATCTAAAGTGAGCGCATTGGGCACAAAATATAAACTGACGTTCAACCCAAGTAAAACAAAGGCTATCATATTTGCTAGAGGTCGAGTTTCAGACCTAACCAAGAGAAAACCAGTCCTAAGAATGGAAGACCAGAGTATACAAGTGGTGAAACAGTTAAAGTACTTGGGCATGACCCTCGATAACAGGATGACATGGCTTCCACATGCCACTAGAATTAAAGACAGTGTTACAAAGATGTTCAGCGCACTAGCGAGAGTGGCTAAGACGAACTGGGGACTGGGTAGAGAGGCGATTGAAGTGATCTACAAAGGAGCTATGCTCCCCAAGATAACATATGGTGCAGCGGCTTGGTACAAAGCGGCAGGAAAGGCAGCAATCCAAAGGAAGTTAAACAGCGCCCAAAGAAGCGCGCTACTAAGACTCACGCAGGCGTTTAGGACTACATCGACAGAGGCCCTCCAAGTCCTGGCGGGCACTCCCCCACTTGATCTATTGTTACGAGAGAAAGCGGAACTATTTCGATGTATAAGAGGCTTAGAGGTAAACATATCAAACCAAAGTCTGACAAAAGACATGTATGAACTTAAGCCTACTATCCGCATGCTACCAGCAACATACAATCGCAGACCAATAGAAATGGCAAATGAAGAAAGCATAACACAGTGGCCACTGGCAATTTACACTGATGGCTCAAAAATGGATGAGAGAGTCGGCTCGGCCTTTCTGGCCATCAAAGACGAGGAAGTGATTACTGAGCAGAAATTTCAACTGGGCGATCAGTGCTCAGTTTACCAAGCAGAGCTCTTTGCGATCAAACAGGCTATCCTCTGGATGATTGAAACAGAAACGGCCGGACCGGCCTTACTATGCTCGGATAGTAGAGCGGCCATCGCCACGTTACTACAGTTTACGGACACGAGCTATATGGCTCTTGATATCAAAGGAATGTTAACGAAACATCAAATAGACATTAAATTCATGTGGGTAAGGGCCCACGTTGGAACCGCTGGAAACGAGCGGGCCGACGCTCTTGCGAAAGAGGCCCTAAG